GTTGACACCTCTCTTTCAGGTCCGTTCACTAAGATTTTAGTTGCCGGGCATAATTTTTGCAAAGTTTCGACGGAAAGTTTACAGCTGGGAAGTTCTTTATGTTCATTTTTCCTTCTATTTCCTATGTACGTAGCCGGGGGCCCTACTCAAAGTTTCAAGGGAAATTCCTGTCCCGGACCCCTTAATTACATCCCTGCTCTTTCCCTTGCGACTTCGGCGCCGCTGAAAAGCACTCCTGCGCTCTCATTCCACCAGCTTTGCGTCAATCTCAAGGATGGTACATCACACAACGAATGGATAATTTTGAAAATCCACTCTATACTCAACATCACTTAAATGTAATACACTTTCTGTAACCTTCAAAGCAGGCGTATTTTGCAGGATGACTGTTCTCCCGCCATCTGGGATATTGAAACTGACAGACAGTTCAGTCACCTATTCAGTTGGCGTCAGTGAAAAAATGATTCAAGATGGCGGACGCGATCAGTATACATTTGTACCTCAAGGCTTTAGTTAAAAAATTGTTTGCTCTACAGGCCACACTTTCTGCTTTCCACATTTCAAAGATTTGATGGTACTTCTCCTGTTATGGTTCATAAGCCACAGAAGTCCAGTCCAACAGTCTTGTTTACTCACTTTTTATTTTGTTTCGGATAATGTGAAGTTAAGTAAATTTTTTAAAAAAAAAGAGAGAAATCAAGGCTATTATGTTCTTTGTGTAGAATGGCGATGTTGTTGAAGATCAGTGGAGTGTTCAGGCTAAAATCTTCTACAAGGTTTTGTCAAGAAAATTAATCTCCCAATCAGGTTTGTATCAATGTTCTATTCTTTAAAACCCTTTTAAAGAGCCTGTCTAACTATGATGAGCTATTGCTGTTTTAGGTCAATGCTGTGAAAAAGTCCCTACTTAGTACCTAAACCTATATACAAAATGCTCCTGAGGAATTATACAGAAAATAGCAAACAAATTTTTAATCATGGAGCACTAACCACTATTTTTTTTTGGTGATTGTTACAGGCATAGCATTAAAACTTGAACAATTTGGTAGAACGTTTTCAAGTTTAAATCCATGTCCATTCTTGCCATCCGTTGCAACAGACGACAGAAACCAGTTTCAGTACTTAAAAATATTCTTAAATAACAAATTTGCCGTATTATTTTTGGGATTAATCCTGGGTGGGGATGGAAAGGATCCAGTTATGGACTACGATACACTGTCTCACTCCACCCAGGTGTATAAATTTGGGTACCAAAAGATTTAATCCTGGGTGGAGGTGGGAGGGATCCTGTTATGGACTACAATATACTGTCTCACTCCACCCAGGTGTATAAATTTGGGTACCAAAAGATTTAATCCTGGGTGGAGGTGGGAGGGATCCTGTTATTGACTACTATCCCGTCCAAGGAAGAGCAAAAATATTCCTAGTCGCTTCATGCTATGGAGATCGGAATGTGCTACGGCCAAATGGGCTACCTGGCTCGAACGCAGACTTTACCTCCATACCTCTGAAACATATTTTTGTCTCTAGTCCTCTTGATGACCTTATAAACCAGCTCGGAGGACCAGGAAAAGTAGCAGAAATGACAGGCAGGCGTGGTCGCGTGGTAAAAACTGACAAGCAGCCTCAACCTCATTACGAGGCTCGAGAATCAGACAGCAGCAATGTGGATAGTTTGAATATTCAAGAGGTGAGCAAAGTAATCAGAACTAAATCTTGCTCCGTGTTCTGAATAAAATGGTAGAAAATGCGATTTACAGTCGGTAATTACAGTCATCAGCACAGACGTCATCCTCGGCCAAGACCCTGGAGCAGGCAGCCAGGTCGAAAACTTTCGTCGCACGACTCGTCGCACCGTTTCTGCCGACCTGACTGACTGCCCCTGGGTCTCCGAGGATGAACTCTGCCTTTGTCCGTTACATTTAAAAACAGGACTGTCGTTTCAGCGCGAGAAAGACAGCCTAGTGCTTGTGTTTGTTAGTTGTTCCTGGGATTACAAGTTTTCAAGTGTAGTCCAAACTTAAAGTCTTACTCTAAATCTGAACTCTTATGCCTTAAATTCAGGTAGCAATCCGGTTTCGGATCTTCGTTTCATTCCCCAGTATTTTTCGCTTTCGCTATGACAACTAAGTCGGCATAAAGCAATTGCTTGAAGCTCAAGAACTGCCTCTTTAAATACCACAGTTTTTAGAGAGTTGTTTGAGTATATCTGAACATTCAACGTTGTTTTTTCGATTGCATTGTCTCACAGAGGAACAGTTTTATGAATGGAACAAAACTTGTTGCCATCATATCTGATGCCGCCAGCACTGGTAGGTTCCCTTTGTATCTTGATTCGTTTGAAGTTACCTGGATTAAACATTGCACTTTTTAAATTCTTTTAATACTTGAAATTTGAGGCAACCTTGAAGTTATTTTCACACAAAGAATCGCTGGCTCAGTGTCTGTTAGCGTTCAATTGAGTTGCCATTACTTGGAATTTCGTGTAGAGACTCGAAATTTAGAGTGATGTTTCTTGACTTAAAGTTCTACTCAAGCAGGAATAAAAGGTTTTCCTCGGGTAAAAGGAACTGCAATAAATAACGTGTATAAGTGACAAGACAAGACGATAATTTACTTGGGGTCGTATACCACCTGGTACATCGACTGTTTTCCAAATGATTTAATATTACAATATTCTGTGTGATATCATTTGTAAGACTCATTGAATTACACAGGTATCTCGTTACACGCGGATGTCCGAGCAGCCAATCAGTGCCGCCGTGTTCATGTGAGCATTGAGCTGCCTTGGAGTGCTGACAAAGCTGTTCAGCAACTGGGAAGATCACACCGGTCAAACCAGACAAGGTACATGCACTGCCCAAACACAAACGTTCCTATCCCTTTGATATAAGCTATTTCCTAAAGAAGAAGGAAATGGTTGCGCGCTGCACGTTTACCATTTTTTAATTGTACCTCCGCTTGATTAGCCTTGTTGGAAGGGTAGCGTTCTGCCAAGCAGGTTTAAACCCGCCGTTTAAACCCAACACCAACCAGGGTCTTCAAAAAACTGATCATATCATGCTGCCTGTTATCTAAGATCTTGTCTCAGTCCAGATGATCTGATAGTCACGTCAGTGGGCGGTGATGTTAATCCATTGGCCTTGTCTTATTCATCCTTTCTTAACAATTCGAAGGGGACGTAAAAAGAACCCACACTGCTGTTGGAGAAGAGAGTGAGAGGTAGACCTCTGTGGTGTGGTTTATCTCTCACGTGGAAGGAACTGTCACGGGGGCACAATACTTGGCTTCACGCTTTTGCGGTTACCCTGCCAAGAATTGGACAGTCTAGTAAAACAAAAATAAAATTCCTTGTGATTAAAAAATCTGAAGGCTTTCCTGGAATATCACTACTTCCATAATATCCTGTGTACAGCCGCCTTCTCCCCTTGGGAAAAAATCGGGAAAAGGGAGGGGCGGCTTTACACAGGTTACTCCCATGATCACTTTTCTTTCGCCAAAAATCCCCTTTGTACCATGGGAGTGAGAGGAGGGAGATATCACGTGATAATGTTCACCGTCTAATTGGCGCGCTCGGGGCTCCGCTTTTCTCAGAGTTTTACTGGCTCTAATGTTTTCTTTGTTTTGTTTTGTTTTTTTTTAGTGGACCTATCTATAAACTTGTAACAACAAACTTGGGCGGTGAAAGAAGATTTGCTGCGGCTGTGGCTCGACGGCTTCAGTCGTTAGGTAATGTTTAAATGTTTGTCAAACTCGGAAAATCGTGAACATCTGACGTATTTGTGAATTATTCTCACTCAGTTGCAAGGAAAAAGCTAATCAGACATAAAAACAAACAAGCTGCAAGTATCAGCGGTAATTAGTTTGAGAAAGATGATTTTTAAGTTTGACACAGGCGGCTCGAAATGAAAAAATCCGAGTACACCCATCCAACAGGAGTTAAAACTTTGATCATCTGTTTACTAGCCCGGCCAGATGCTCTACCACTAAGCTTCAGGGGTCACGTGGGAGCTAAGGTCACTAAACTAGGTCCATGTGGCAAACATCCTGCATACTTCTAGGACTAAAATGTCGATATGTACTGATGCAACATGATAAGAGATGTGATGGCAGGGTGCAAAGAAAATCATTTTCATAGCTTGCCATTCGGGTAAGCTGAAGCTAGCATTTACTAGCCCAGACATCATTTTAACTAGCCCTAAAAGCTTTTTGACCAGCAGAATTGATTTCACAGTTCTTCCTTTATCCGAATTGCTCAAAAAACATCACTTGCTTATCGGGCAAGTTAAAAATAGAATTTACCAGCCTGATAACAAAATCCACTTGCCCCGAGCTATCGGACACTACTTTCTTTGCACTCTGGATGGTGAATTTTGAGCCTGGTGAATACATGAGAAATATGATTTTTCAGTCAGTGACACAGGCGGCTTGGAAGAAAAACATCCTATTACTCCCAGTTGGCGGTCAAACTTATAACATTCTGGTTACTAGTCCAGATGCTCTACCACTGAGCCACAGGAGAAGTTTTGGAGCTAAGTTCATGTGCAAACATCCTGTATGTAATACTGCTAGATTGTCTAGAACTGGTCCTAGCAGAATACAGTCGAAGATCTCCATGCGACCACTCTCGTGGTCTAGTTACGACCACCTTTGTGAAACGTCGTTTGGACAGTGACTTAAACAATTTAGTGAAAAAGCTCTTGTAAGCGACCACTCCAGTAAGCGGCCGTGAACGCTTTTGGGATTACCCAAATGGACGGGGTGGTCGCTTACGAGAGCTTCGACTGTATCTAGAACGTTCTTATCCTAGCAGTATGCTGGATGTTTGTCACGTGAACCTAGTTTAGTGGCCTTAATCATTTGTAGCTCAGTGGTAGAGCATCCGGACTGGTAGCCAGAAAGTCATAGGTTTTCTTATGTTTTCCCAGCCAAAAGCATCAATCCATTCAACTAAACAGCCATGACAGAGCCCCTTTAAGTTTTTGTTTTGTTTGCCTGCAGGTGCACTTACCAAAGGTGACAGACGAGCAGCGACTGGGGCCGACTTAACGCAGTTTAATTTTGACACGCCTTACGGCCGATCTGCACTCAGGAACATGTACCAAGCCATTACTTTGGTATGTCAGACAGCCTGTTTCGGGATAAAAGATATTAGCGTAGTAACTAGCTAAATTGTTTTTTATTCTCGATATTTTTGACCAACTAGTTGGATTTTACTAAAACAATTATTCCTCTCGCCCTCATGGCCTCTTAGTCAATAGCCCATTCGGCCTTCGGCCTCATGGGCTATTGACTCAGAGCCCATTCGGGCTCGAGGAATAATTGCTAAAAATCCCACGTTGAAGCACCCCTCGGTTTTAAACCCTCTCCCGGATCTAAGTCCATCTCTTTGCTAACGAAGATATTACATATTCCGGATACAAGTCCCCCGGATATAATCCCCCCCTTCCCTATTTATAAGCCTACCCAAAACTCCTGAAGACGTTATATAAGCCCAGGCTTTTAACGTGAGATTTTACGGTATCGGTATGTCAGAGGTGGTCACGAATTAGAACCATGTGTGCTTGTTGCTTGTGTCATCTACGACCGAGCGTTTTTTATTTGAACTTGGGACTTATTTTGCCTTTTTTTTTCAGCAGTCCATTTGTCCCGGAGTTGCCTTGTCTAAGGTTCTGTTAGCAGCACAAATTCCCGACAAGCATGAATTCACAGAGTTTAACTCCATCGCAAGGGTGAGTTTTACTTCGTTGGTCGCGAACGTGGTTAAAATTCTTGTTTAATTTCTCTCCTTAAAAGTGGATTTGGAAACAAAATTTATGATGTCAGAGACAATTTTATATGGCAGTTAGGCAGCGATATTGCTTCATAAAAATTTTGGGCAACACGTGGGAATGGATAAAGGAAAAACGTCATTTTGTAATAACATATAATGCGATCAGTAAAAAATGACTTGATAGGAAAAATTAGAGAGACCTTGAATAGTGGCAACTCAATACCCCAACAGCTATTTTGTAACCACCAACAATTTCTGCAGCTTTAGGAAACCTTTGTGGAAACAGGAGATACATTAGTAGCCTGTTTATAATAATAATAAGCATTTGGAAAAATGTAAGCTCCTTGTTTGTCTTGTCCCATCGCGTTTCTTGCTCCTTAGCATGGCGTATTTGTACCACGTGACTAAAGCACTACAAAGCGCCCATTTCGTTCGGTAGTCTAGCGCGCGCCATAGACGAAACTAAACTCTGGTTAAGTCTGTCTACGAAAAAGCGCCGAAATCCTTGTTCTGGGCCCCACTTGTGTACTAGGATTTGATTATGCGCCATGATTGGCCTTTTAAAAATGCCATTGTCCATTTGCCAATCAGGTTGAAAAGAAACTGGAAACGCACTTCTGGCAAAACGCTTATTCCGTTGTGGGCCCAGAACAAGGATCTCGGCGCTGTTTCGCAGACATTACTTGGAATTGCCTCTCAGAAATATGAAAAAATCAAATCGGCAAGTTTAAATTTACGCAACTCAGCATAAAAGCGACTCTAGCATAGGAGGATTTGAAGATTTTAGTACAGCATAGGGTAGAAAACTTCAGCTGCACTAGCTTTAGTATAGGCTAAGGGTTACAGGGTCCCGGCGGCACATCCCCGCCCAAAAAATCCTGAAAAGGTACCACCCCCCCCCCCGGGGGGGTTAGATTACATATGCGACGTAGGCTATTGGTAGTCCAGTTTCACATTAGTGTTTACTTATGAAGAAAGTCTTTCTCAAAGGTAGTCCATTACATTTACCGAGGTGTCCAAATGACTGAATTACTCTCAAGTTTAACAAAGCCCTGTTTTCTTTCGTTTCACAGCAATGTCCATGGGAGTAACAGACGCCAGTTTCGTGGTGAAAGACAAAGACGCCAGCGATGTGGGAAAATTTCTCAACCGTATTTTGGGTCTTAGTGTGGAAAGACAAAATTTGGTAAGTACAAAGATCCTTCCTGTTTGGTGGCAATGAAACGTACGTTTGAGGGGAAGTTCTGGGACTACCCTTGTTTCCTAACTTTTTCTGATTTCTCAGTCTTCTTTTATCAGTCGATTTCCCACTCTTCTTTTATCGATCGATTTCTATATCAGTCTTCTTTTATCGTTCGATTTCCCGCTCTTCTTTTATCGATCGATTTCTCAGTCTTCTTTCATCGTTCGATTTCCCACTCTTCTTTTATCGATCGATTTCTCAGTCTTCTTTTATCGATCGATTTCTCAGTCTTCTTGTATCGATCGATCGATCGATTTCTCAGTCTTCTTTTATCGATCGATTTCTCAGTCTTCTTTTATCGATCGATTTCTCAGTCTTTTTTTATCGATCGATATCTCAGTCTTCTTTTATTGATCGATTTCTCAGTCTTCTTGTATCGATCGATTTCTCAGTCTTCTTGTACCGATCGATTTCTCAGTCTTCTTGTATCGATCGATTTCTCAGTCTTCTTTTATCGATCGATTTCTCAGTCTTCTTTTATTGATCGATTTCTCAGTCTTCTTTTATCGGTCGATTTCCCACTCTTCTTTTATCGATCGATTTCTCATTCTTCTTTTATCGATCGATTTCTCAGTCTTCTTTTATTGATCGATTTCTCAGTCTTCTTTTATCGGTCGATTTCCCACTCTTCTTTTATCGATCGATTTCCCACTCTTCTTTTATCGATCGATTTCTCAGTCTTCTTGTATCGATCGATTTCTCAGTCTTCTTGTATCGATCGATTTCTCAGTCTTCTTGTATCGATCGATTTCTCAGTCTTCTTGTATCGATCGATTTCTCAGTCTTCTTTTATCGATCGATTTCTCAGTCTTCTTGTATCGATCGATTTCTCAGTCTTCTTGTATCGATCGATTTCTCAGTCTTCTTGTATCGATCGATTTCTCAGTCTTCTTGTATCGATCGATTTCTCAGTCTTCTTGTATCGATCGATTTCCCACTCTTCTTTTATCGATCGATTTCTCAGTCTTCTTTTATCGTTCGATTTCTCAGTCTTCTTGTATCTTTGTCAGAACTAGTCGGCCAAACTGGTCATAATGAAAATGAAATGTTTACCAAAAACCCATCACTGCCGCGCATACATTTTAGAGATAAACAGATCTGTCCGGATAGTCCTGATTGAAAGTGGAATTCTCCTGGCGGTTGTACTGGTCTGGCCAGCCAGTTCTGACAAATTGTAAGTGCCCTAAGACTTTCTGTTATCGAGTTTCCTTTTTTGTTTCTGTTTTCTATTTTCGTGGTGTTACTCAATCAGTCGCGTTTTTAGCGCTCATGGAATTCGAATTTTGAATGAGTCTGATATCCAGATTTTACCGCTCCTTCAGGGTATAGGGAAGAGGAGATGGCTGACACCACAAACTCGGCTTCGGTATCTCAAATATATAACTTTCTCCTCTACACCGGTAGCTCGCTAGTATAGAACAGACGCTTCTGCCTTCCCAAGCTCACTAACCCAGTTTACACCCACTTTTCTGCTGCGCTACATCTCACGTGACCACACCCCTTGTGCAAAGCACTTTGCGATTTTTGCTCATAAGAAATGTTTCATTGTCTCCTGTTTTATTTGTAGTTATTCTCGTACTTTTGTGAGTGCCTAAATGCTGCAATTGAAACTGCAAAGCGCGAAGGAAGGTAAGTATTGTTTTTGTTACTGACCAGTTAATTTCTAAGAAACTAAGTTCTTCACCCCGAAGCGTCGATCTCTCATATTAAGCTTAGGGTCAATAAAGCTTGGTTCTTGCACGATAAGAAATGTGTCGCATGCATCCTCGAAAAAACATTGGTCTCGCATTCATACCCTGGACACAAATGAATAATATTGCGTGATAATTCTTAGGTATAGTGAAGGCGTGACAGACGTATCTGGATCTTCAATCACGATGGTCGGCGCTGCCCAGCCTGTTTTTAGCGACTTTCAAAGAGGCCTCATGGAAACAAAGTGAGTAGTCTTAATGAAGATATGACCCTTCCCAGTCGTGAACGCAATTTAAGCAATTGCAAATTTAGCCCGAAGTTACTATTAAGTCAATTCTTAAGGTCATTCTTCTGTAGTAGAACCTGCAGTGAGAGTTTTGTCAAACTTTGCCGATTGGATGTTGTTTGAAATAAAATCGCGGGGTCCCCAATCCCCTTACTCGTTTTGGAGCGCGAACAACTTGTAAGTGCGCAGTGATTCCTTGAGATACCAAGGGAGCTTCCGCATCAACGACGGCGATGGCAGCGAAAACGTCACTTTTAAAATGAATTTGAGTGGGTTTTTTTGGCGTGCTTATTCCAGTTCAATGACAGTGTCAAACTGTAGCGGGTGAATTTCTTGGGGACCGCACTCAAGTTTAGATAGAGAAGGAAAAAAATTCTTCCTCGCTTGTTTACGTCCCCCATAAACGTGAAATTAGGCATTTTCACATCATAGTTGTGCAGTGACGGCAACGAAATGTAGAAAAATGTGTGATGCACGTGCGAAGTTGTTGTTTAGCTAATATAAACCTAAGCCCCGTGCAAACGGACGCAACTTAACATTGTTGGCCAACAACTCCCAACATTGTTGGATGTTACATGTTGCGTCCGTTTGCACATCCTGTTGGATGTTGTTGGATGTTGTTGCGTGTTGTTGCGCAAAGTTTGAAACCGGTCAAACTTTTCAGCCAGCGACTCCCAACATTTCTTTTCTTCCGTGATCGCCGAAACGTAGCACAACAATGTTGGATCCGTTTGCACAACTCTTCCAACATTGTTGGGGCCACGCACGCTCATTACGCATGGTTTACAAAGACTCAGGGGTTGTATCCTTCCCACGATGCACTGCAGGTCCCAACATTGTTGGGAGTTGTTGCATCCGTTTGCACACCACTGCCAACATGCACGCAATAACTCCCAACATTGTTGGCGCAACAATGTTGGGAGTTGTTGCGTCCGTTTGCACTCAGCCCTATGATTTTTTACCTTTCTGGTTGCAGTCGCCGTCGTCATTAGGGACCTTAAGATCCGACGACGGCGACGGCAACGGGAACGCCACAAAAGCAATAGGTTTAATTAGCAAAACAACAATTTTGCAGGTGCATCACGCTTTTTTGTACATTTCTTTGCCGTCACTGCACGACACAGAGGAAGTACACAAGCGACGGCTAAATTTCCTCTCTCTTTCTGTACTTGGCTATGGTTCTTAGGAATTCAACTTTAGGATGGTTCGCCTACATTTGAAGAAGTTAGTGACTTGGAGTAATCGCGATGAAGATTGAAAGAACACGAATTCACTTTTTCAGCGACGTTTTCTCTGCCGTCGCCGTCCTCGGATCTTAAGGTCCCTATTGCTAAAGCTCCCGACTATGATAATATTTATGAGTACATGTTTTGAACACGTTTCCGACGGTCGTCTCTCTTTGTACGGTAGAAATTAGTCTTAATTTATTCAAGAAGAAGAACGTTACTGCTCATTTTAAAAGAAGAGAAAAAATAATAGGTCACCGTTCTCGTTTACGAGAAAATGAAGATTTAACTCTCTGGGGAGCTCCAGTCTCAAGGCAAAAGCCGCCTTGTTTTAAGTGCGTGCGTCCTGTTATGATTGTTGGCGCGGGCTAATCAAGCGTGAAGTAATGCGCAATGCAATACGAAGGAATAACCTGAAATCCCGTCTCAGTTATTTTCATTTCTTTTTTCAGACGTATGACTGTAAACGTTGATCGCGGAATAGGCTGGGATTCGGCAGTGAAGCAGTTACAAGACAATGGAAAAAACAAGTTTGACGGGTTTTATTGTTCCAAAAGGGAACAGAAAGGGAGACGGCTTTACCTTCTAGCGATACAAAAGGAATCGTCCACCCATCTTTTTAACATTACAAGGTAAATGTAAGGGCGAAAAACTGCTTTTCACCGATGTGAACGCCCAAAAGTTCCAATTTTAGGTTGGTTGGTTGGTTTAAATACCGTAAATCCTCTATACAGCCCTGCCCTCTCTCTTAAATAAGCACCTTCCCCTCTAACGTTTCATCTGGACTAATCCGGTATGCTTCATTAACCAGATTCAGAGACTTGAAGTTGTGATTTCTTCCTGTAAACGATAAAGTACATGCGATTAAGCCTCCCAGGATCTAAGCTCCCGGCGCGTCCAAACGAATGAAAATGAATTCGATTTATTATGACATTTTGAAGCTTGCTTAAAAACCAGTAAATGCTAAAGGTTTCTTGTTCAGCACTGCTATAGAATGTTTCGAAGCGCCTTTTCTATTTCGGTTATTAGCCCCTTCGTTTATTAGCTCTCTTAAAACCCCTTAAGAAAATGTATAAACCCAGGGCTTATAAGCGACATATTACGGTTGTGGAATTTCTACCCAAAGATAATTTCCGCTTTTACTTCGTTTTGTTTTTGTGCAGACCAAACACAGGACGGTCTCCTTTTGAAGAAGAAAAAGCCGATCTTCTGCACAAGTATAATAGGATTTCAGTGGAAGATGCAGGTAAGGGAGGCGGGCCTCGTCAGGCTATCTTTTGTATCTACCACCGGGAAGCCGTGTGAAATCAGAAGTGCTGTCCGCGTGTTTTACTGTGATTTGTTTGAAATCTAGTACACTGCACGGGTGCCAGCCCGTCCTAATTTGTAAAAGATAGGCGAATATTCCTGGAGCTAAATTCTTAAAAACTGTAGTTATCTTCAAAAAGAGAAATAAAAATTCGTTGTCGTCTCGTTCTCCATAAAACGTCGCTTTAGGGGGTTTCACGTCCTAGTCGTGCAGTGGACGTTAAAGAAATGTACTAAAAAGCGTAGTGTACGTGTAGAGCTATTGTTTTGTTCATAAAATGAATTTTTTGATGTTCTCGCTGCCGTCGTCGTTGTGGTTGCAGAGCTTTTGAAATGAATGCCAGTAAATAAAAAAAATTCTTTTGTTGTAACTTCATGTTTTGCTAATCGTTTAACAGGTTACACGAAAAGTAAAACTCGTAAAATGTCAAGTACTTTGATTGGTCAGGAACTAAATACTGTTGTATGCTTTTGATTCATTAGAAGCTGGATGGAAAGCACGGTACGAAAGAACCAGAGATCACTGTATTCACGGATTAGGCTGCAAGACTGGACCTTCTTGTAAAAGTAAGTGAAAACTTTATTACAGTGGTGTATTCCTTAGAAGTCTCCTTAAGAGACCACGAGGAAGTGACCCGACAAAATGATTTAATCCTTCTTTAAACGAATAACTCCGACAATTTGTTAATGAATGAACGAATAAACTTTATGAACGTGTCAATACAATATCTAGTAGAGAGGAATCCCTCATCTAATAGGGGACACCTAAAGCGCGATACAATGGTGACATTCAGTTGGAATAAAACGAATTTTTTAAATTTACAGTGAGCACGATACAGTGAAAAGTTATCAACTTGTTAGTGGCCAGCTTTAAAAAAATACGTAACGTTGATGGGTAATGTGGTCCATGATTAAGATATGGTCATGCTATCTTTCTTTATCCCATCCCAACCCAGCCCATCCTATCCTATCCCATCCCATTCCATTCCATTCCGTCCTATCCTGACCTGTTCATTAGAAAGAAAAGACAGCATAATAGCATTCTAATATCAATACCTTATATGGTTACTTGGTATTGGCCATTTTGAGGTTGCGCGTCAGGTTCAGGTTGTTGGTATGTCGAGAGCACTTTGATCCCTTTTGGGACGCTATGGCTTCACTCATTGGCTGTTACGAGGTTGCGCAAGAAACTGGGTTAAAATTTCTCTCGCAAAACAGTCCCATAGTGCAATTGGACCGACCACTCTGTGGTCAAGTGTGATATTTCACATATATCTACATGAAGTCAAGCGGCAACCATAAAATGGCTAATCATTGGATCGATGACCGTTTCTGGAAAAACTCCCAACCTCCGAACCCCTAACCCATGTTTCTTTCCTAAAGCCACCCGTTAGGGAGAAACGAGAGTTAAGGTGGGTTGGGAAGGACCCAGAAACTGTAAATAATTCGACGAGATCCCGTTTTTGTTTGTTTGTCAGCCGGCTGTCGCATTACTCAGATCCATTTATTGTGTGGTGGAATTATTCCTCTGTTGTCTGCGTTGGAGATGGCCATGGCTAAAAATGCTGATAAAATTGGTCTCAGGTAAGTAACTCTTAATCCCTTCGGTTCCAAAAGAACTGATTATCAAAAGCATGAATCGCTATAAAAGCCAAAGCACTGCTAAAAAGGTTATATGTGAATGGTCGCACAATGTATTCACAGTATGTTTTAGCGGTTGATATTTTGTCCGTCTGGCGACTTCGGTTCCCGAGGCGTGAGTTTTGGTCGTGTCGTTGTGTTTGGTTCCTGTCGCCGAGCAGTTTTTCTTTTTACTTTTTGTTGCAGCAAGGAAAGTCGATCTCTGAGAGTAGTCCGCGTTGAGCTAGATAACGGTCAGCGGCTGGGAGGTCTGCGTTACCCAGAGCAACTCATACCGGAAGCTACATTGTTTCTGAAGGAGCAAAAGTTGCTCGACGCCGTTATCGTAAGTAAATATTGATCTGTATAAAGAAAAGTGTAAAAAATTCTCATCACACATTTTTGGCCAAGCACTCGTGTTAAAGAACAGTTCCCGACCGGTCCTTAATTTTAGCAGCGTTGAACGATTGATAACCACCCTCAGTCATCATCAAGAACTCCTCTTACCCAAGAGTGACCAACATTAATTTTCTCCTAACAGTAATATTTAACAATTATTCCTCTCGCCTTCATGGCCTCTGAGTCAATAGCCCATGAGGCCGAAGGCCAAATGGGCTATCGACTTAGAGGCCATGAGGGCGAGAGGAATAATTTTTTTAGTAAAATCCAACTAACTGGTCAAAAATATCGAGACAAAACAGGTTTAGCTGGTTAAAGCTAGACTTTAATCCTTTTTTTGCCGCCAAAAAGCCCGCGCTTTTCGCTACTAGTTGGCTATAACATATAGCCTAGTAGTAGCTCAACCAACCAGAACGCAGCATTGATAATAGACCACTAGTTGGATTTTACTAAATAGATTTAGCCAGGGCTAAAAGCGAAGCTCTGGTTAATAATACTTATAAACAAGAAAAATTAAAACGTGTAATGCTAAACGGGGACGGCAATGAAAATGGCATCAAGTTTAATAGATCTACTTAGCAAAAAAACAAATTGCACGTGCAGCACGCTTTTTGTCTTTCTTTGCCGTTGTTTTGCACAACTACAACGCTGTTTTGTTGGACTAAATCGTCAAACTTCCTAGCTACACATTATTTTTTATGGAGGAATTGTCGTATGTGCTTACCCAATATTTTGTCTCCTGTGTTCATGTTCCCTTTCATTTTTCACTGCCCCTCATTTTCACCTTGCTGGGCGTTCCTTGCTGGCCGCTAGCATTTCTCATTGTCTCACCGCCGCTTTGAATTTTTATGTTTTTCTTCCTACAAAATTCGGCTGTAGCTCTTTCTCTGTTATCCACGTGAATGTAAACATCAAAAATAACATCGAAAAATACATGACTTTGTACTTCTCACTTAGGGCAAAATGTTGGCTTAGGGGAGGGGTAGGTGGGCAGTTTCCCAGAAGCGTGTAATGATCCATAATATCAATACGTAACCAAGAGAAAAGGTTATAAGAATTAATAAAATGTAACCAAAAGTTGATCTTTTACCAAATTCTCTGTTCTAATTTTGTAAAGACATACGTGAAGAAAAAGTCTGAAGATTTTATTTGTCTGTGGATACTGGGTTTTCGTAGTACACAACAGAGAATAAGTTTTATTTTAACATCGCAGCATGATCTTGTTACTTATCTGATATTTATTTCAAATTATTAATAACCTGCGAGTTCAGCCTTCTCTCATTGCCCCTGTTTCTGGGGACGTTAGCGAGAGTTTGGTTAAAATTTTTATCGTGCTTTACTACTGCTTCTAGGCTTCAACTTTGAACCGGGTTAGGTATTGTTTTGACTTAAACGATTATCTTTTTTTTGTTGTTGTTTTTTTCCTTTATTTTCTAGGACAAACAAAATGGTGTTTTGAGTTCAACAGAACCTTCTCTTAGACAGCCATCAAAAGCCAGCCGAGCGTTTGAGGAAGCGGAAACGCCCATCAACCAAAGGACGTTAACTAAGGCTACTACTCCTCCTGTAACTATAAAGAATTTCTTTAAACCGAAGACTGTTGAACGATCACCTGAGAGTAATAAAAGTGCATCAGAACATCAGGATGTTAAGGAAAAGAGCGGGGAAAATGACTGCAATGAGATCGAAAATCAAGAAATCGAGAACAACGCCAAAAACAGCACGGATGACAAACAAGCAACGACCAAAGTAAGTAAGAAGGAAGTCAAATCAATATACTTTAAATCGAAGGGAAGAAAAAAGGAAGAGCTCCCGGAAAATAAAGGACCTTTCAAAGGTGCTGCTATGTGTAATGGTCTTGTGCGCCACCTTTCCGAACCCCTATCGAAAGAGAACCTTCAAGGAAAAAACTCTTTGAAACGAACTAGTTCTGAAGCGTCGTCAAGGGCGATTAAGCGACAGAAGCAATCGAGTATTTTGTCTTCGTTTGGGAAAAAGAGTGACAAAGATTCTAAGGACCAAATGGAGAAGGAAATTCTCTGTCCTGTTTGTGGGGAGAAATTTGCGAGCGGATTGAAGAATTCTGATATCAACAAACACATCGACAATTGTCTCAGTAAATGACAAAAATTATGAAATTTATATATTTTTAGTAAAAATGAATACTAGTTATTGTTGAATCACAATATGACATAATTAGCAGTAGTATTGTTACATGTAACTGATATAAGTTTAGTTATGAAATTATAACACGTTCATGGTTCTGCAGTTTTTTTTATCGACATCTTTTCAAAGAAACAAGCTTTTGCTACATCCCTCTGATTCTTAACTAAAACCTGTGTCAATCCGTGGATTTGCGCTCCCATGTACAGTCGAACTCCGCTTTGCGGAGACTCGCTTAATACGGACACCATCATTATTACAGACGATTTTCTTTGTCCTTGGAGGAAGAAAGCCCTTACATTTTCTCTAAAATTTGTGTAGAATTTTCTATTACTTGAGGACGACTAGAAATTTGTAGATGACCGTTCCATTCACGTACAATTTTCGAAGCTTATCTTATAAATTCCCCACGATTTTCTGAAATTTTATTTTTCACATTTTACTTTCCAAGTTAGACTGTTTTTCGAAGAAAAAAGGAACCTAAACTTTTCGGTTTCAAAAATGTGATGGCGAGAGGAATCAGAAAATTTCTCACTTTGGTAATACGTCACATTTCATCTAAAATTTCGGGAAAATAATACTCAAGCCTTTGTAATTTCGAAAAGACTCAAGTTCCTCAAGGATGACAAATTACGCGACAAATTAGAATGCATTTCTAGATATCTAAAAAGTACTCTGGATAGCCTAAAAAGTATTGTTAATGTATTTAGGAGGAAACCATCGTTAAGTGCCCCGGTTAATAACTTATTTCTTTCTGTAAACGGCAAAACTGGCAAACAAAATGAACAAACCAGCACTAACTATGATTGATACCACAATACATTCTAAATCGAAAAAAGCTATAATTTAAGGATAAGACAAGAATTTTGTCAGCCTCAAATCGGCAGAAAAGTAAGAATTTTGACTTATTTATTTGCCAGAAAAAAAAAAAACATAATGATATACATACAGACATGCAATATATTATAAAAAATGTTATATAAAGTTTAAAGAGACGTAAATTGTAAGTAAAAGAATTAAAAGTATTTTTCTGACGAGAAAGCTCAAACAAGCCTTGGGGCTTGTTATATGAAGAATATTCAGTCGGAAAATAACATTCTAAAAAAAGAGTGTTTTCGTCGATAACACAAGCGTCAATTTTGTTGTCGACAAACCACAACTCTTTTTTCCTAGTCTGTGTGACAATCTTTGATAAGTAACGCTAATATCATCGCTCCTTTCTCTACAAATAAAAATAAAAAAAACTTTTAGAGTTTTGCAAATGCAACTTTCCGCACATTGCGTTTTACTAAGTTGCAGCTTACTATTTGTAAGTAACTTGTAAGAAAATAGTAATCGAAATCTTTGGATCACAGATCTCTTTGACAGTTTTGTTAAAAATCCCAAACTGTCGGTAACCTAGTATCGTTGCTATTTAAAGAGTTCATGGTCTCAAAAGTTAATACACACTTCGAGTCCTTAGTATCTGTCAAGCGTGATCATTCGAACAATGGGTATTGAAAAACCAAATTATTTTTTTAAATGATTTTTTGTTTTCCATTTTGAGCTAATGCACTCATACGATTAAAAACGATTAAGTCAAGGACGAAGAATTATACCCATATTTTTCTATTCTTGACTTTTATCGTCCAAAATTGAAACTCTTCCTCGTTCCGTGGTTTCTGTTGTTAGTCGCGTGATATGCGAGATCAGACAATAAATCTGAGACACACGAACCATTAGACGAACTTGAATAAATTAGTCTCGCCTACGCTCACGCTTAGTTCGCTGGTAACCAGTGTGAAATCGGCCTTCCAAAACCACTGAGGTTCCATAAGAAACACAACTGTCGCCTTGCTGGTGTTTGGCCTGAATGCCGTCGTACAGAGTGAATATTTCTTCCAGTGTCCTCCAGACAACTTTGTTTTCTACGCCAGCTGTTTCTTCATCATTCCTGCCTTGTTTTTGTTTATGGCGACGATTTTTCTTCACAGCGGATTTTGGGACCATGTTCGTGGATGCTGTTATTACGAAGGTCCGTACAAGCGAGGAGCAAAACGGTACTGCTGTTGTTTGTTTCCAAGATGGCCTTGCAGCAAAGCTCTTGTGGAAATCGTATTCCAAAGTTCTCTGTCTGGGTTCTTTTGGATTTTCTGGGCGCTCTTGCAGCGCGACTATTACATCTGCGCCGCTCTCGGAGGAACGAAAGCAGCTAAATTAATCAATGCCTCACCCGCGCAAAAGTTACAAATCGAAGCAGATTACGCGAACGCGGGAAAAAATTCACAGACGGCGGCGTTGCTCTTGCTAGCGGGAGCGTTACTTACAGCTTTCGTTGTTGTTTCAGTTCAGCGATGCTGTTATCAGCGTGAGTTAGGAACTTTACCGAGTCCGTACCAGTATAAAAAGCTCGAGTCAGAAGCTGCTGTGGAGGCCTTTAAACTGAACATTACCCTGCGAACATGGAAAAAGTCGCAAAAGGACAAGGCAAGAGTAGTGCAGATATGTACTTTGCGACCATGAACAAGAAAAACCCGTCTGACATCCTTAAGAGTGCCTATGAAAATCTCGTCGCTGTGAACAAATTTGACGAAGCGTTTCCATCTTTGGAAGATTATCAGGAGCTCCAAGCACAGGCGGTTATGGGCATCTCCAGGGATGATGGAGTCTCCAAGACAGAATTACTGCGCAGAGCCAACATGCCATGCATTAAGGCACTCATCATGAAAACAAAGCTGCGGGGGGTTGGACATGTGGTTCGAACGGACGACGCGCGCCTCCCGAAGATGGTCTTCTTCTCTGACCTGGCTACCGGTGCGCGTAGCATTAGACACCCACTGAAGAGGTTCAAACATAGCTTGAAATAAAAAACTGAATTGAATGCCATTCTTGGATGAGAAACCCTCACCGCAAACCCCAGCGCTCGGAGAATGGCCGTCCACAAGGGCGTCCAAGGCTTTTTAACAAACGGCTGTACAACCTCGACCAGGACTTTCGGAAGGCCGGGTTCTAGTTGCGCGAAGGCTGCTTCTTAGCGATTGAATCGATCTAAACGGTTTCTTCGAGTTGTTTAGGGTAGGCCATTATAACTGATTTTTTTTGTAAATTTACTAAGGATGGGGAGTGGAAAGTAACGGACAAAGAACTACTCAGCAGCCTAGCGTCAACAGGAAAAGGTTAAGCGAAGCCTTTCGCCGCCATGCCGCCTGTAATCGGAAAAAAAAAACCAGGATCTCAGCAGTGACGAAAAATACGAGGAGGAGAGCTTTCGATCCAAACAACTCTTTTTATTTGCTCGGCAAATAGCTAAAGGAATGGTAATTACTATATGATTATTTTCTGAGCGGCGTTGCTTCGATTCAGTTTCTGTTTTCATCATTCAAAGATCGGTTTCAGACTATTTCACAAGCAAGAAATAAAGGACATATGGGTTAATTTTCTAGATGAAGAATGATTTCATTTTTTTCGATCGGTTTCAGACTATTTCACAAGCAAAAAATAAAGGACATATGGGTTAATTTTCTAGATGAAGAATGATTTGATTTTTTTCATTAGAATGTCAAATTAGTTTTAGTGGAGAAATTGTCTTAGTCGATCGAACCAAATTTGGCATGTTTCGTATAAACTTGAATCAGTCGTTCAGATCAGTTCAGTTCAGCATTTTTCTTTTAATTGTTTGCCCCTGATTTTCTCGCCTTCATCCATGCCTTTTTAGGCAGTAACTGAAGTATTTTGGTACTTATTTTCATATTTTCTCCTTCCTTCTTAATTAGAATCATCTCGCCGAAACAATCTTTTTCACAGAGACCTTGCTGCCCGTAATGTTCTTGTTGGTCATGACAACCAAATCAAAGTGTCAGACTTTGGGTTGATGATACAAATCTATGAAGATGTGAGCAGCTCAGCGAAGTCCAAAAAACTTTCTGCGAAATGGATGGCCGCAGAATCACTCTATCAAGGCCTTTACACTACCAAAAGTGATGTGTACGTACAAAAGATTCCCACTCTTTTAAGCACATTTTCGATATATTGCTGCTCAGAAAACCTCAGCTACCCTAAAAATCGTGATCAGTGAGTTTAATTCAAACCGATCTAGAATTCCAGTGGTTAATATAGTGGGTAATTTCATACTTGTCAGCGCAATTTTGACTCAGGACTATATATAGTTTTCATAGTCAATAGCGAGAGCTGCGTCTGTTGAATTCTTACATCAGAGTGTATGTAAAGACCACTTAGAAGCTTTCCTTTGCCGGGAAAAGTTTACGAATATGCGACAGACCCGTCACGTAAATTGGTATTGATTTTCCTACTCTATTAACCTTGCTAGGCCATTTGCTAAGGGCTTTGAGCATCTGAGGCCTGGTGTCATAGGGTTTAGTCAAGCGCGAAGGCACGGAAAGGTGGAGACACGCCCTTTTCCCTTAAGTTCGTCAAGTAAAAAGAAGAGGGTAAAATTTATAGTGTTTATGCAGTGAGCATATTCATAACCTTTGTGATTTTCTCTACAGTTGGTCTTTTGGTGTTGTTCTTTGGGAGATGGCTACATTGGGTGAGTAGACCGTCACAAACTGATCATGTTGCCTTCCAAGGGGAGTGAGATCCCAAGAACTGTCCTCCCCAGTGCTACGGGGGATATGACTTGAATAGTGCGACTAGCCTGATATTAAAGGACGACACTGGGACTTTCAAAAGAGTGAGTCCTTATTAAATAAGGTTATGGCCATCAGGAAACAGGCTGATACCTGATCAGTTGTTTTTGTGGCAAGCCATGCCAGTAGGTTTTTTTGTTTTGAACTAGGCTTTATGTCTGAAATCTTAAATAAGTGATAATCGGCATCAAATATGTACGCATTATAGAGAGCATTATTACTAAGCACCATGCTTTCTTTCTTTCTTTCTTTCTTTCTTTCTTTCTTTCTTGCTTTCTTCCTTACATTTAAATGCAACTCTGACCCCTACTCAATCACTATTCTTTAGCAAAGCTGCATTATTGAGGGCGGGGAAATGAAGACTCGTGGACGTTGACATTTCCAGTAGAAATCTATCCAATGGAATGAGCCGTATTTTCAAATAATAACATGTATATTTTTTCTTTTTCATAACGTGATCAGGAGGCGCACCATACCCCACGCTGACCAACTCAGAGTTGTATCGACTGCTTGGCATTGGCTATCGCTTGGAAAGGCGTGACATGTGCTCCGATGATGTGTACGTTTCTTGATCAGAATCGTCTTAAAGTTTACAAATAGATTCGATTTTTCCGTACGTCTTCATAGTTATAAATTATAGCAATGAACGTTGCAGAAGACAAGTCGGTTGGCAATTTTGACGTTTTCTTCGATCAAATTGGTTACTGAACAGACGGACGGCAAAATCTTAGCTTAAATATTTGTTTCATACAGCAATATGATAGTGTTAAGACTTTAATAGAGATCGAAAGCAAGGATTTTTTCTCCATGTTTGATATTTCCTTATGGTAATTGATTAAAACTACAACCCCGGACAAAACTGTTGAGACAATTCCATCTATTTTCTAACTTTTGCGCCCTACTCCCGTCTCCCCTAAACACAAAAAAGTAAACCCCCTCCTCACCCCCTATTCAAAGTTGCCTTGGTCTAAAAACCAACGTGTATAATTGCCATGCTATCCTAAACAACTTTGGATAAGGGGAGGGGGGAAATCGGGCATTCATTTGGCGGCGGTTTCAGTTTTTGCCGGGATGACAGGAAAAAATAGGCATTTTCGCGATTTGTCTCAACAGGTTTTGTCCGGGGTTGTCTGCGTACTGTTTTCGGTATTCTTTAACTTTCATAGCAATTACCTCAAGTTATAGTCCTCTCTTTTGGTCAAATTGATAAAAGCCATTGTTTCAGCATACTTTTTTTTTCTTTTTGAATGCGAAATAAAATTTTTACAGTAAAAATTGAAGTTATAACACTCTGATTACATGATCTGTCAAATGACATTTACTCTGTGACGTTACCATGGGCATGACTTTCAACGGCTTACGTGTCCGTAGACGCTTTGCCTGCTCAAATGATGACATTGATATGTAATCGCCAGACAAAATGGATCTCTCGAGAACTTCCGATAGTGACGAATCATTTTCAGGAGGCTCGGAAATATCGCATGAATCACTAGGTGAGAGGAAGGTTAGTGCGCTTATCTGGTCACTTACAGTCACGCGAATTTGGCTCATTTTTCCATCCCGCGAGTAAGTTGCCTTAGCAGTGATTACGTCGTTCGCCAAGTTTAGTGCAAAGATCCTACACTTAATAGGACAACATTGCCTCAGTTACAGCAAATGTGAAATTGTGTACGAACGGGAATGTGGTATGATGGATCTCTCATTTCTCCACGCAGATCCCGCGGAAACAATAACGGGAAATCCCTTGATGTGTAAGGTGCTTCGATGAGCTTGCTATGCAAGAAAAACGGAGTAGTTTTTCTCGCAGACGGTTAACTTAACGAATAAAGTACCGCAGAGGAAAGAAACATCGGTTAACGACGGTTAACAACGGTTAACAACTTTTCTGAAGAAAAACAACAGTTAGACTATCAGTTTCCTTTAATATATTCTGTTAACCGCTGTTAACCGTTGTTAACCGTTGGAATAAACATGTGCGTGCCTGTTAATCGTTTATTTCAAGCGTTTACGGTGCTTTCAAGCATTTTCCGTAGTATATAGAACCTTTTTGTTGATTTTCAAGCATTAAAAAGACCTTTTTACTCAAGGGAAAACTTTTTGACACTGGTGTAATTGTCATGAAATGCGCTGTTTTTTGCCACAAAAGAACTGCCATCGCGTGACAACATGTTTTCGCTGTATTTGTGATCAAAGAGGCATTGCTTTCCCTACAGATCCTATTTCTACCCATTTTGGAAGTTCTTCATTAATATTTGTTCTTTTGGCCTTGGTTGTCATAGAAGAATTAACGGTTTTATCGGCATGGATTCCATTATTTTGTCAAGTAGATAACCTGGTATATATGTTGTAAATTGTTCTAATTACACACTCACTAAACGCGGGTATTGTTAACTCGGTGAAGCTTACTTTTCCAGTTCTACTCTAACTACATGGAGAAAGTTGTCACTGCAACTAAGTATCACTACCTCTAAGGGTTATTTTTAACTGCTCCGCCGCATTCTTGAGTCCTCGTGCATGACCTGCACACCACGCACTATTATTTTTGAACAGGACAGTTGTGCTGCGCAAATATAATAAATACCCAGTCTTATCTAATTTATTCGACATGTAAGCACAATTAACGTTGGTAAAAAGGCCGGAGGTAAGGCTCCTATTAAGATATCATACTTGTGACACACAGTAACTCCTTAACCGTGGCCACCAACCACAATTAATTTCAATACTTTTTCTGTAAAGAGCATGATTTTTTTCTCATTTAGGTATAAGGTTTCTAATTTATGGCTAAATTTCTAAGTGCATAATTAATGCGTCCTAATTGTTTTTATGACACATTCTTTCGTAGTCACAAAGCTTTAGACAAGTACAACATCTGTGCAAAAAATCAATACCCTCCGACCTTACATTGCGAAGTTACAGCGATTTGAACAACTGGCCTTCACAGACAACCCCGGACAAAACTGTTGAGACAATTCCATCTATTTTCTAACTTTTGCGCCCTACTCCCGTCTCCCCTAAACACAAAAAGTAAACCTCCTCCCCACCCCCTATTCAAAGTTGCCTTGGTCTAAAAACCAACGTGTATAATTGCCATGCTATCCTAAACAACTTTGGATAAGGGGAGGGGGGAAATCGGGCATTCATTTGGCGGCGGTTTCAGTTTTTGCCGGGATGACAGGAAAAAATAGGCATTTTCGCGATTTGTCTCAACAGGTTTTGTCCGGGGTTGTAGGTATTCTTTCTCTTAACTGGTAACAGCTTTATTAGCAAAATTTGGCGACGTTGGCTAATTCTTTCAACTTGGAAAACTTTAAACAACATTTCCAGTAGACCATTCCAAAACCATCCGCCACACGAGGGTCCCAACGCTGTCGTATTTTCTCTCGCGTGCCGCTCGCGTGTGTACTTCTCACGAGATCGCCCTAAGTGTAGAGCTTGCTTGCAGGCTTGGCAAGAAACCGACAAGCCTAATGAACCGGCGTGAGTGGCTCCCAGCTGGTTTAAAGGAAAAACTATTCTACTAAATCGGGGTGTGTTACGTCAAATAGAAACGGTTTCTATGTATGTAATAATGGATTGGAACTGTGACTAACTTAAATTGTTGTATTTTTTTTATTCATAACAGATATGAGCTGATGACTGACTGTTGGAAGGAGGAACCTCGCTCTCGTCCCACTTTCTTTCAGCTGATCGAAAAACTGGAGGTGATAATGCAGAGGGATGCACCATACTTGGATCTAAACAAACATAATGATGATCACCCGTATTACAACGTGCCCCCTGAAGCTAGTGGTGATTAATATGAAGAAGGAGCTTCCCCAATAATCAGACAATTTCAGACCAAACGATTATAAACAGTTAACTAGTAATGATTATCGAGAAAGCAATCTTAAAAACTTTGAAGGAAGTAAAAGTAGAAGCATAACAAAAACCGTAGTAGCAGTCAGTAGTCGTAGTCAGCGGGATCATAAGCGCGCATAAAGTTTTGGCAGAGGAGCTGCAAAGCCGCTCGGCTTGGGAAAGGGAAGGAAAGGTTTTGAAATTCCCTTGCAGCTTCACAGCCAAAACTCTCACGCGGGCGAAAAAAAAACAAAAACAAAAAAAACAGGCCAGCTGATCTGACAGACTATGGGTGTTGCGTGTTGTACGACAGGGAACTTAGGAACCACGACAAAGTTCACGACGACGACGTCTGTTGACCGGGAAAAGACTGGAACGAGAACGTCAGTTTCGGCGGCAAAAAGGAAACTTAAGATGCAGTCGGTCGGTAAGTCGACGACGACGACACTGAATGTAAACACAAATGTAAAACTGTGATGTTCGTTCGCAACAAAGTTTTTTGGAATGGCGTCTTTGAAAACAATGCAAGATCTTATTGTTTAAAACCGTACGTCTAATTTCATTGACAATGTATAATTTTTTGTGTTGTCTGACCTTTTCGAGTGGAAAAACGCCTGCTTTCCGCTCAAAGATTATTCAACTTTCAACCTGAATGAGATGGCCGAGTCCGAGTGTCTGTCAGAGTTTAGATTAGAAAAAGAGACATTCTGATGTGATAGCTGTTTTCCATATAAAGTTTATTTCTTTTATATTAAAGATATATGATTTGCCTTACCTAAATACGTACAAATAAATTTCTCACTTACGAGTTCGCTCGCTCGGCCTCCACAGCTGTTGTCATTCTTCGAAGTAAAAACAATTCATTAAAGTACACTTTTAGTCGAATTTTCAATCAACATCGCTTGTTAGGAGAAAAAAGGAACGATACCTGGATTTACGAGGATAAGAAAAAACAAAGGACTTCAAAAATCGCTTAAAACAGTGGATTTATACCTGCCGAAGCTTGTGGATTGCAGGACGACGTGATTGTACTTTTTTGGGCGTCGTCGACGACACCACCACGACGAAATTTACTGGTCGCGCTTGCGCAGTACACTGTAACTCACTTCCGGTCGTCGTCGAAAAAGTCGTCGTCGTGGTTCTTAAGTTCCCTTTTGTTAAATAGAGGTTCGTTAAATCGAGGTTCCACTGTAGTTCAGTTCATACAGGAAAAAAAGCGTCCTTTCCAATTCCTGTCCTTCAGGCCCCGGTTGTTCAAACGTTGGATAGCGCTATCCACCGGATAAATCGCTATCCAGCGGATAAGTGTTATGCTTTCCAACTGCGTTATCGAGTGGATCGAAATTTATCCAGTGGATAGCGCTATCCACCTTTTGAATAGCCTGCGAGCCGCAGACGTATTTCCGGTCGTCGCCTCCCTCCCTCCGAAAAAAGCGTCTCCTCCCCGCAGACTACCTTTTCAACAACTGGGGCGAGATTGGTTTGTGGTCACGCACGCTCTCGGCACTTATCACACCGTCACAAAAACGAATTTCCTTAGTGACTAAAACCTGCGTCAATTCTAGCCGAAAGAGAGCTGAGAAACCGTGTGGCATGCAACTTCACTTTTTGCGTAAGTCAAACATCGATCAAACAAATGTAACAACGTTTTTTAGTTCTCCCGCGCCACTCCCGCCACTCACTCAATTCGGATTCATTTCCATCGATCGACGACTGCAAGAATTTTTTTTCGTTATCAAATTCCTTGTATGAATTTTTTTTAGGCAATAGCATGAATATTTTTTAGGGTTAATTGGCGTGCATGAATTTTTTTTTCATTTAATTTTCCCTTGCGCGAATATTTTTTGTACTTCGCCCCACCCCCCATAAGTTTTCTAATGGGCCGTCCCTTTAGGCCTCTTTTTCCCGTAGAGGCCCCTGCTGGTATTTCAAGAATAAAATAAACAGGGCACGGGTGTGATATGGGAGGAGAAAATAGGCGGAAAATTGTCCCCCCTCCGCGCGCGCTTTCTTCCCCTCCTCAATAGAGTTGCCTCTGCGAGGAGAGGGACCAGTTCAAACGCAACGTCTTTCGTTCTTGCGTTTAAACCGGCCGTAGGACACAGAGTGGCCATGAACTAAATGTAAGGGAGCTCTCAACCTCGTCCGCAGGGCTTTTCCCTCAAGCCCTGGGGATGAGGTTGGGTAGCTCTTTGAATCAATATTTCGCGTGATCGTGATCAAAATGTTATTTTTCAGGCCCGTTTTCAGACCTGTCCTTTGAGAAATCATGTCATCATTACTTAGATTACAACAGCAACAACGCAATCCATTAGAATTCGCATATTTCTTTTTTCTTTCTTACTCTTTTGCAACTGAAACAATAAATACGTTCGTACACTCCCGTAGTGCCCTCGAAAACCATACTCGATTGCAGACCAAAATGAGCAAAGTTTACACCCGTTTTCAGACCAAAACTACACAAAACCCTTTAGGGTGGCACATAGATACGTAGGGGAGTACCCCCCCGGGCCCAGATAATACAAACACTTTATTGGCATGTTCACTTGATGTCTGCCATGTTTGTCCCCGAGAATCGATCTCTAGCGGACTAGAAGAACTTGTTTGGCGATCCAGCAACTTTAATATTCAGAGTAGCTAAACTGAGACAAACGTTGAACTTATCATTAACTTAAATCACTCAGAATGGTTCCTCTCATGAAAAGTTGGACGTTTGGCCCTGGTTTTAGTCGATCCAGGATCCAAACTCATTCAAACAAACTTGACTGCGACAGAAGACAAACTTATTATGAACTTAATCCGTTCAGCTTGGATCGGGGGGTACTCAACAAAGTTTTATACAGGGAGGTACCGCCCCAAAGTCCAACCCCTTGCCCTCTAAAATACTGTTTTTGACAGAAAAGGTAGCCCTTCCGTTATTCTAATTCTGATTCGTTTCGTGTTATCTGCAAAGGGGATGTTCCATCACGGCGGATGTGCAATTGTACTGGTGCTTGTGTTAAGATATAATCAAGGTGCGAATGTCAAGTGAATAAAGATAGTAATAATAAAATGTTCCCGGGTTAACGTTTTTTTAAAGATGGCTCACGACGGCCGTTTTGAAAGCCTCCACTGACTGCTTTTCAATGACACAATTTGGTAAAGATTTCCAGTCTCTGATTGTACGTGCAATAAAACTTTGTTGCTATTTGTTTGTTTTGGCATTAACTTGAAAGAATTGCCTAGTGCCCTGTCGCCTTTTAAATCATATACAGGGTGGAAATCGGTATAGCTGATGACCAGAGACAACTTTGAAACATCATTGTGAGTCGTGCAACTTTCCTTCTTTTCTCGAGTGTTGGCCATTTCAGATCATTGAGAATTTTCGTGACAGTTCCAGGAGTGATGCTATATTCTTTTTAACAAAACGTGCCGCTCGTCTCTGCACACTCTCAATGTCATTTATCTGCTTTTGAATGTGCGGATCCCATGCGAAACATCCATATTCAAGCTGTGGTCTAACAAAGCAAGATAGGCTTCCTCTTTAACGTTTTCTGGGCACTTAGTTAGGTTTCTTCTTATAAAGCTAAGAAATCTGTTGGCTTTGTCTATAATTCCAGCAATATGAACATCCCAGTTTAGATCACTGGATAGCTCAACTCCGAGGTACAGCTTCCAAGGGTTCTCCGTGGATAGTGTATTGGTATTTAACTAGAGTTTTTGAGCACGAGGCTCTTAGGATGGTGCATTTGTTTGCATTAAACGAAAGCTGCCATGTGTCCGCTCAGTGTGCAAGTGTGTTAGGTCTTGCTGTAGTGACTCTGCATCATTGCAATCTTTGATTACACCATAAAGTGCCGCGTCGTCCGCGAAAAGGTCAATTTGTGCTTTTGTGTTTTCGCCGATATCGTGTATGTACAAAAGGAACATGAGTGGGCCCAACACAGTACCCCGGGGCACACCTGATCTCACGGGAATATTTGATTTCAGGTGGTTAGCCATTGTTCGAGTCAGGTCTTGAGATCTCCGCGAATTTCGTAGAAATCTAATTTATTTAACAATCGGCGATGGGGCACCGTGTCGAATGCCTTTGAAAAATCGAGTAACAACAAATCACTTTATTGGCCACGGTCAAGATTACCTGCTACTGATTCAATAACTGTGATCAGTTGCATTTCATAAGAGTGCTGTTGTCTGAAGCCGTGTTGATAATGTACCAGAATAGAATTTGAATCAAGGTGATTCATGATGTGCTGGTATATAATATGTTCCATTATCTTACAAGACACGGATGTTAAAGAAATCGGTCTGTAATTACTTGGCTCGCGCGATTTCTTTTTTTGAAAACTGGGGTGTCATTTGCAGTGACCCAGTCACTTGGGACTTGACCTGTTTTGTATTGATAGAGTAAAAATATACTGGAGAAATGGGGCAATGACAGGAGCATCTTCTTTTAGAACTCAGCAAGAGAGATATTGTCAGCACCACGGGCCTTTTTGGGCGTTAATCTTTCTTAACAAGCGTGTTATGCCTGAAACTTCAAACTTCAGAGGGGGAATGTCTACGATCATAATAGGGCCCTTACTTGGGATGTTAAATCAGTATATTCAGTTCATCTGTGAAAACTGAAGCAAATTGATCACTCAACACGTAAGCTTTAATATATCCGTATATCTTCCCTTGAATAAAGGATCCCTTTCTCATACCTAATTTAGAACGTTGCATCCCTTTTAACTGTTAAAAATGCACTGTCTTTAAAATATAAATAAGTCACAAAACCAGAAAACGTTCTCGACACAGTCATAAATTCTTCTAGCAACTTTAGGTCTTTTTACAGTCAGATTTCGCTGCCCTTTCTTATACTTCAACTAGTGAAATCCCCACCATTTCATATACCTGACACCTAAGAAAGGTACCCCTTTCTAGCAGTGCCTCCCGTCAGGGAGTATCCCCCAGGGATTAGACCGCGTAACTGGACCTC